CTGGCCCTTGAGATGCAGGAGGGTGGCTTGTGGAGTTAGGAAACACCATCCCCTAGAGGCCAGTGCTGTGCTGTGCACCATTCTACTCACCAATTGTTTGAAGACTATTCAGGTACATTTTGATAGAGTGTTCCAGAATTGTAATGTTAGAGCCCTGCAATATCGATGATGTACAAGAAGCCCAGGAACCCTGTGGGAAAGAATTTAACCTGGTTACTATGAGACAGGCTTTCTCAAAGACAGCTTGAGCTTCCTGGATGGGGCTGGACTGGAGAGAGCTAATGGGGTTCCTGAGACAACATTGCCAAGAGAAAAAAAATATGGCCAGTTGATCAGCCTGAATATCAGGGTCTTGAATCCAGATTGAGCAGGGACTGTAGGAACAGTGTCACACTATGGCCGGCGTGCTCTTTCTCTGGCCTCCCCCAAGAAACATGGATGCTTTGGGAGGGGGAAGGCTGTGATATGAAGGAGAGCAAGCAGATTGGGCGACCAACTGTCCTGTCATCTAGTTTGATCCCAGTTTTAGCACTGAAAGTCCTATATCTCTCAGTCCCCGGCAAACTGGAATGATTGGCTACCACAGAGGCAGGTCACTAGGTGTGAAGGTCTGCTGTGGGAACTTCCTCCTAGAGAGCCAACCAGGAGCAATAATCAGAACTTCCTCAGTGCCTGGACAGGAAGGAGATTCTGAGTCTGGTGGGCCAGAGAGCGTTAGCAACTCTGTGGTGCTTACTGGTGGCAGAACTGCAAAACATCAAAGACAACAAAAGATTAAAAACAACCGGAGAGAAAATATATATTATCTAAAAAGGAACAAAAGCTAGATAGATTTCACTAGGGCAAGAATGGAAGCCAGAAGATAATGGCATAACATCTTCAAAGTGCTGAGAGAAAATACTGTCAGCCTAGAATTGTCTTCCCAAAGAAATTATCTTTCAAGAACAAGGGTGAAATGAATACATTTTAAGATAAACAAAAACTGAGACAATTGGTTGTCAAAAGATTTTTGTTAGAAAGGCCTCACAAGTTCTACTGTCCAGTGCGGTTCCACTAGCCACATATGGCTATTTACATTAAAATTATACAATTAAAAATTCAATAATGCAGTCACATTTGCCCCATTTCAAGTGCTCTTTTTTTTCTCTATCTTTCTGAATACATGACATCATAATGGTTGGTTTGAGGCCTGCATCAACCTGAGAAGATTAAGATTTGTAACAGGAGGCAAAGGGAAAGAAACATGCACTTTTAAAAATACCTTATAATGAAAAAGTTTAAACATACTAAGAAGTAGAGAAAACAGTGTAATGAAGCCTTATATGCATATCACCATATGAAACAATGATTAACTCATAGACAATCAATTTTACTTCATCTATAACCCAGCCCTTATTTTCCCCTTTACCTCTGAATTATTTTGAAGCAAATCCTAGACATCATTTCATCTATAAATATTTCTGCAATCTCTAGAAAAAAAGGATTTTTCTTTTTTTTAATTAAAGTATCATTGATATACAATCTTATGTTGGTTTCAAATATGCAACACAGTTACCCATATTAACTCTAGTGTGGTTACACTATCAATGTAGTAAGATGTTACAGAATCATTGACTATATTCTCCATGCTGTGCTACCCTCTCTGTGACCAATGAAAAAAAAGGGTTATTTGACAAAAATAACCACAATGTCATTATCCTACTGAAAATTAACAATAATTTTTTGATATCATTAAATATCTACTTAGTGTTCAAACTTCCTCAATTATCTCAGAAGTTTTTTCCTTTTTTACAGTTTATTGTTTTATTCAGGATCAAAATAAAGTTCATATACTGCAATGTTGAAATGTCTCTTAACTTACTCTCTTAAAAAATATTCATCTTGAATTAATTTTAGATTTATGGAAAAGTTGCAACATAATACAGAGAGTTTCCTAATGTTCTTCTCTTAGTTTTAACAATTTACATACTCATAGTACAACTATGAAAGCCAGGAAATTAACACTGGTACAATATTATTAAGTATGTTACACACTTAGAATTTCAACAGTTTTCCCATTCATAAATCATTTTTTCTTTTCTAGGACTTGATCAAGATTCCCCATTGCATTCAGGTAAGAGTTGATGTTGCTGTCTTGAGTTCAAATCTGTGGGGCAGGCCAGGAGGCTAGAAACTCAGGATTTCTATGTTGTACTTTTTAATTTTTTTGAGCTTTATTGAGGTGTAATTGACAAATATGTAATGCAGTCACATTTGCCCCATTTCAAGTGCTCTTTTTTTTCTCTATCTTTCTGAATACATGACATCATAATGGTTGGTTTGAGGCCTGCATCAACCTGAGAAGATTAAGATTTGTAACAGGAGGCAAAGGGAAAGAAACATGCACTTTTAAAAATACCTTATAATGAAAAAGTTTAAACATACTAAGAAGTAGAGAAAACAGTGTAATGAAGCCTTATATGCATATCACCATATGAAACAATGATTAACTCATAGACAATCAATTTTACTTCATCTATAACCCAGCCCTTATTTTCCCCTTTACCTCTGAATTATTTTGAAGCAAATCCTAGACATCATTTCATCTATAAATATTTCTGCAATCTCTAGAAAAAAAGGATTTTTCTTTTTTTTAATTAAAGTATCATTGATATACAATCTTATGTTGGTTTCAAATATGCAACACAGTTACCCATATTAACTCTAGTGTGGTTACACTATCAATGTAGTAAGATGTTACAGAATCATTGACTATATTCTCCATGCTGTGCTACCCTCTCTGTGACCAATGAAAAAAAAGGGTTATTTGACAAAAATAACCACAATGTCATTATCCTACTGAAAATTAACAATAATTTTTTGATATCATTAAATATCTACTTAGTGTTCAAACTTCCTCAATTATCTCAGAAGTTTTTTCCTTTTTTACAGTTTATTGTTTTATTCAGGATCAAAATAAAGTTCATATACTGCAATGTTGAAATGTCTCTTAACTTACTCTCTTAAAAAATATTCATCTTGAATTAATTTTAGATTTATGGAAAAGTTGCAACATAATACAGAGAGTTTCCTAATGTTCTTCTCTTAGTTTTAACAATTTACATACTCATAGTACAACTATGAAAGCCAGGAAATTAACACTGGTACAATATTATTAAGTATGTTACACACTTAGAATTTCAACAGTTTTCCCATTCATAAATCATTTTTTCTTTTCTAGGACTTGATCAAGATTCCCCATTGCATTCAGGTAAGAGTTGATGTTGCTGTCTTGAGTTCAAATCTGTGGGGCAGGCCAGGAGGCTAGAAACTCAGGATTTCTATGTTGTACTTTTTAATTTTTTTGAGCTTTATTGAGGTGTAATTGACAAATATGTTGCTTCTTGAGGCAGAATTTCTTCTTCTTTGGAAACATCAGTCTTTGCTGTTAAGGTCTTCAACTGACCCATGTTGTGGTGGGTAATCTGTTTTATTTAATGTCTACTGATTGCAAATGTTAATCACATCTAAAAAATACCTTAAGAGCAACATCTAGACTAATGTTTGACCAGACAACTGGGCAACATAGCTTAGCAAAGTTAACATATAAAGTTAACCCTCTCAATGATCAGGATGAATATTCAGGACAGAGGCAGCCCCATAAATCAGTTTTCTCTGTAATCCTTCTGCTATTATAAACTTAGGAGAGGACAAATGTTACCCCGGAATTTCATTTATAGAAAACATCTACTTCAGTAGAAGAGGACTAAATCCTGTTTCTTCTGGCATGATAGGATACAGGACAGAGGAGAGAAGAGAGAGAGGGAGAGAAGGGAGTAAATGACCACATTCACATGTGATCACATACACACACAACACATATGCTTTGATTTTTCTGTGCTGAAATCTGTGTGTGTGTGTGTGTGTGTGTGTTGGGAGGGGACTAGATAGGTTGAGAGAAAAGCCAAAGGCAGAGGAGGCTATTCCCACTACTCATTTGGGATACTGGAAAGGGACTGCCATTCCTGTGGTCCCAAACTGATATGGAGGCTATGAAGTGCAGAGTGGTTAGGCCGAGAGACAGCTTGAGTTAGCATGCTTACACCTCCATTGGGCCCTGTGAGATATGGATGAACACCAGAAATTCCTCTGTCCCCTATATGGAGTATTTTTGGAATTTATCTTTTTTTCCCCAAATTTCAGAAATCAGAAAAATGTTTATGCATTGGTCAGATGCTCATTCTTTTCTCCATGATTTGTGAACATCACTACCTATGGAATTTGCATCTACAAGGTCTTTTGTTAACCTATGATGAAACACATTTAAGCTTCAAGATGTAGAATCTTTATAATTAGCTGGGTGTCCTCTTCCTCCCTCCATAGATTGTTGTATTCAATTCTCTTGTTCACTTCTTCATTTTACTTACCTTTTTCCAGTCAGCTTAATTATCCTGCTTAATGGAGAAGACAAAAATCTCTGCCCAAAGGAAGAGATTTTTCTTTTTGCACATATTCTTTTCTGAATATATCAAGATATTACTGTGGGAATAGTCTTGAACCTGGAATCAGGAGACATGGTTCATATCCTGGCTCCATCATATATTGGCTGTTTAATTTTGGGAGGTCTCTAAATCCTGAGCATTTGATCTCATCTACAAAATGGGGATAATACCTAGTTTACAGGTTTTGAATGGGGATTACATGAGAAAGCATTTGAAAAAATTCAGCTGGCATTTCATAGGTGCTGAGTAAATGTGTGCCTTTCCCATTTTAGCATTGTTCTTAAGCACTAACTTATTCTGCTATAGCCTTTCTGCACTGTTCTTACAAGTTCATACTACTTTATTTAAAAAAATTGTTTTTTGTCCTTGTTTCTGAGTCTCTTCCTTCTTTTACATAAGTCTGCAGACCTTTTTTATCTGTAAAGCATGAGAAAACAGTGCACAGAGTCTTAGTAGCCACTAAATGAAATTTGGGAAAAAGTTATTGGCTCCAAAGTATAAAAAGAAAACAGAAAACAGAAAAATCAAAATTAATAAATATTTAAAAAGTGTCAAAAAAATCTTAAGATTTTAGACTTTTTAGGTAGCTAACTCAACTCTTACATTGTTATAAGTAGTCCTATAAGCCTTTATCCACAATTCTGGAATCCAGGGAGTTCTGAAAATAAAAATATTGGTTAGTTTGGGGTGAACTTATTTGGCAGGAGAACCTAGCCTGAACTAATATGAAACTATTTATGATCTATACTCCCCTTAGTGTGAATATTCATAGTTTTTTTCTGCAGAAACTTTAATGTGGCTAATTATAGATACTGTCCCATACCCGTGTAGAAGTATTATGTGTGTGTGTGTGATTCCAAAATTAAGTGTCCTGTGGTCTACAATGGCCTTAAAAAGAAGAGGATGCTGTAACTGCCAAGAGAGAAAGAACATGATTAATACTTCTAAGGAAATCAAACACTTTTAAAAGGTCTCTAACTAGTAAGTGCACAAAAAGATCCCAATGTCATTAGTCATCAGGGAAATGCAAATTAAGACTACAGTGAGATATCATTTTGTATCCAGGAGCATGGCTATAGAAAATACAACAGACAATAACCAAAGTTGGAAACCTTGTACATTGCTGGTGGGAATATAAAATGGTGAAACCACTGAAAAAGTTGGAAGTTCCCCAAAAAGTGAACCATGAAACTACCAGACAACCCAGCAATTCTATTCCTAGGTAACTGCCCAAGAAATACTAAAACATATATTCATAGGAAGACCTCCACATGGGCGTTCATAAGCAACATTATTCACAATAGCCAAAATTTGGAAACAATTCATATGTCCATTAACTAATGAACAAATATTCCATACAATGGAATACTATTCATCAGTTAAAAGAAATGAACTACTGACGCATGCTAAATCATGGATGAACCTCAAAACTACTGTGCTATCTGAAAGAAGCCAAACACAAGAGAGCATTTATGGTAGCATTCCATTTACATGAAATGTTCAGAAAGGCAAATCCACAAAGACAGGAAGTAGACCAGTGGTTTTCTGGGTCTGGGTGTGGGACATGGATTAATTGTAAATGGGTGTGAGGGATTTTATTGGGATGAAAGTGTTCAAAAATCAATATGGTAATGGTTGCACTACAGCAAAGTTACTAAAAATCACTGATTGTACATTTGAAATGGGTGAATTTTATGGTATATAAAATAACTCAGTTTTTTTTAAAGTGCCTCTTAAGACTAAGATATATAAGCAATGGAAAGTTACAAAGAAGGGATGAAGGTCTTCCTGATATATTTTTCCTTAAACCCTCCAAGCCTGTTTCTTAATCTGCAAGATGTTATTAATAATAACACCTACCTCTCAAGGTTTGTGTGATTATGAAATGAGATAAGCTTGTAAGCATTTGCACAGTGCCTGGCACAAAGTAAGCAATGAATAAATATTAGCTGTAGAAAAAAAATTTGTGTTCCAGTGGAAAATTATACATCATCTATAGCACACCCTTCAGGTCCATGTGATTCTTTCCTTTTTCTTGTCTTTTAGCTGTTTTGCAACTCTTTTGAAAGTTGTAAATAGGTGATAGATATGTGAATCCTGTCCTTTCTGGCAGAGATATAATTAACTTACTAATTCCCTTTGGAAAAATTAATTTTGTCTCTATTTTCAATTCATCTCAACATTCTTTTACTCCATATAAATTTGTGCTCCTTGGATTTTTCTTTTTTAAAATTTTTTATTTAGGTATTATTGATATATACTCTTATGAAGGTTTCACATTAAAAAAAACAATGTGGTTACTACATTTACCCATATTATCAAGTTCCCACCCATACCCCAATGCAGTCACTGTCCATCAGTGTAGTATGCTCCTTGGATTTTTCTTTGAATCAGTTAGAACATCTGCTTGGTTCCCTCAAGTCATATGAAAGAAAGAAAAATCTTAACATGTGTTCATTTTTATCTCTGTATGAGAATCATGATTTAATTTTTTTCTGAGATTATCTTTTGACATTTTTGGAAGTTCCATCAACATGCCCAATGAATTTGTCTGACAGAACCAAGTAACATTCATGGACACATCTTTTCTTGGATCCCAGAGGTGAATCTAAACTTCCAATTATAGTACAAATAAGCCAAAGGGAAGAAAAGTGCAGCATAGGGAATATAGTTAATAACATTGTAATGTCTTTCTGTGGTGACACATAACTATACTTACCACAGTGAGCATTTTGTATGTAATTATTGAATTACTATGTTGTACACCAATATAATATTATACTTGAATTAAAAAAACAGCCAAGAAGACAAACAGAGGCAATAGAACTTTGCTGGCTCTGTTTTTCCAAATTTTAATTTTGCTTTCTCTTCAAGTTTGTTTTCCATTTGTTTTGAGCTGATTAAGTTCCCCATTGAAAACTTGGTTTTATGGTCTGAACATTTGATCATTTCTGTAAATGGACTGCTGGTGTATAGATATCTTGGCTCTGTTGGGTGAAAGATGACAGAGACTTAGTTTTATAATTTAAAGTCTGGCTCCAAAGAACATGATCTTAACTGTAAAACCATACTTCCTCTGTCTGGACTGGAGAGGTTCTTACAACCTCTTTGTGAGTGTCTTCCCTGGTTTGTTAAGCCAGACTATCTATTTGTATTTGTTTGTTTTAACTGAGGTATAATTGATACAATTATATCAATAATACTTATAACATTTTATTAATTTCAAATGTACAACATACCATATGATATTTGATATGTGGCAAAATGATCACCACAATGAGTCTAGTTAACATCCATCACCATATATAGTTACACATTATTTTCTGGTGATGAGAAGTTTTAAGTTCTACTCTTTTAGCAACTTTCAGATATATAATTCAGTATTATTAACTGTAGTCACCATGCTGTGTATTATATCCCCAGGACTTATTTATTTGCTTTATGTCTGGAAGTTTGTATCTTCTGATTCCCTTCAGCCATTTACACATGCTTGCTTCTTATTTTATATGCTATGAATAGGCTATATCTTTGGGTCTATTAATGAACTTGGAGAAGTTGTAGTTAGCGATACATATGGCTGCAAAAAGCTGTGTTACTAGGTCTGTCAATCTGCTAAAATACTGCTGTGTGACAGTGTACAGTCATCCAGGCCCCACTCTCACAATAAAAAAGCAGGCCCTGATGTCCAGAACTGATCTGACACTCACAGGTCATTTTGTTCTCTTGGATGCAAACAATTTTACAAAATACCAACCTCAGACATGATTACCCATGAGATTCTATCTCAGGATAGAATGAAACAAAACAAGTTTGCCTAAGCACACACAAACAAAATAACTGTGCAAACTCACAAAACACCAAACATCCCCTCCTTTGCTAAACCAATGACTGTTACTTCTTTATGCAATCATACTTCTGATTTTTGACAGTATTTAATCTTGAACAAATCCTTGCTTATTTATACTTTCCCCAAATTGCCCAAAAACTTAACAGTTTCTTTCTACTACTCTTTTACTGAGACACCCCATGGTTACCTATGGTTTGTGTTCTTCCTTGTTGCAGTGAGCAGTAAAGCCAACTTGTTTAACTATAGGTGTGTTCCTGGTGGTCTTTGGCAGAAGGTCATTGACAGAAGAAATGGTCACTTTCTCCCAAATTCTTTTCACTGCCGTAACACCAACTATTGCTTCTTTGGTGGTCTAGCGTAAGTCCAAACAATTGGTCATCAAAATAAATATTGATAATAATAGATTGTAACTCTTTGAATAAAATAAGGATCCCAGGATCCCAGGAACCCATACTGATATATATTAATGAGTAAAAAAAAAAGAGAAAGCTCTACATTAAAATGCCAATGAATTAAGTGTAGAAGAAATAATGGAATCAGAAAAGCACAATTTTGTAAAGATAACAGTATAAGTAGTGCATACAAGGACTGTCATGACGAGGAATGGGATAATTAAATTGTCTCAAAGCATCTCTTCACAAAACATTAATAATCATGTCATACTTAATAATTATATGCAATCACTCAACTACTAATCCANAAAAAAAAAAAAAAAAGACCAACAAAGATGAAAAAAAAATCAAGGTCGTAAAAGACAAGGAATCTGAGGAAATGTTCCAGATTGAAGGAAACCGAAGAGACACAACAGCTAAATGCAGGGCATATTTCTGAATTGGACCTTGCACGTATAAAAGACATTACTGGGACAAGAAGCAAAATTCAAAGATGACTTGTAGATTAGATCGCAATATTGGATTGATGCTAACTTTCTGATTTTGATGGTTGTATTGTGGTTATATAGGAGACTGAACTAGTTTTTAGGAAACATGTACTTACGTCTTCAGGGCTAATGGGTCAACAGTTCTTCAACTGACGCTCAATGATTTGGAAATATTCACAATTGGGGGATCTGGATGAATGGTGCGCAAGGGTTCCACAACTATTTTTGCAACTTTTATGTAAAATTTCGGTCATTTTTTTAAAAGGAAGGAAGAAAAGGCAAAGAAAGGTAAGTCTGAAGGTTCTGCGTGTGCCTCTCTTCCCTTCAAGCCCTAACTTGAGTCACAGAGTATCAGCTTCCAGCAGAGGGCAGCAGATCTCCCAGTAGTGTGGTTGGAGACAGGTCATAATTTCAGCTATTATTTCTTTTTAATGTTAACATGGTCACATTTTTACTTCTTTAATTTGAATTTACTATCTTCTAGACTTCAACTTGGGATTGATATCACTGATATACATAGTTTAATTAACATACAGGTGTTTAGGACTTCCTCAAGACTCACTGATTCTCTTGAATTCTTGATGTTCCTGATACATAGTTAAAATCAGCTTGGTTTGGTATATTCATGTTATATAAAGTCAGGATTATTATATGTCATGTCTCAATATGTTTTCTTTGTAAATATTATGTTCACCCATTTTTATAAATTAGATGTAATGTTCACTGTCTTCTTTGAAAATAGAGTTGATCATTATGTTTATAATTATTTTGTCTAAAGCTTTTTTGGGATTGACTTTATTATCTTCTTTTGCATGCCACAGAAACAATCAAATTTTACTTGTCATCTGAATAATTCTTGTAATGAATTCTTACTAAATCTTTCTCTTTTGAAACTTATCAGTAATAAGGTAGTAAGCTAACTACAACCATATAAAATTTTTTGTCATCTACAGATAGTTTTTATTGCTGCTTCCCTGAAAGCATGACAATCAATTGCAGGCCAGAGTACTTTGTCTTCCACAGAGGAATGCCTCAGAATCCCATGGAAAAGGACAATGCCAGAGACTTTGGGGAAATGGCTTCTGATGGCACCATTTAAACAACACTGAGACCATACTTGTGGACTGAGTCAGGATTTTTAGAATTCTAGTCAAGAAACCAAGGGTTCAATGGGTTCATAGCCTGACATCCAAAGGTACAAGAATTAACTACACAGCACTGAGTGAACTGATGAGAGATGATTACAGTTTTTGTCTCAACTATTGTTGATATTTTTGTAATGTTCTATTTTCTGGATATTTAAGGAAGCCCTTTTTCTTTTCTGTTAAGCTATATATAATAACAACTTAGTAAGTATAACTCTGCCTTCATTTCTGACTCTGATTTTGTAAATTGAAATGAAACATTTGTAATGATATGTTGTACTCCTTGCCTGACTTCTCCAGAATTTGGAAACTATTATCGAATATTCTTAATTTCATGACAATGTCATTGTCATATTTTTATGACAATATAGTTATTGGCATAGATTCAGTAAGAATCTGTCCTTATTTTACCAGGACATAATTGGAAACATTGGTTATACACCCAAGGATTTGCCTGGAATGTTATATTTGAGAATGATGCTCATTTAATCAAATACAGTCAGACACTTTTAAGAACTAAGGTTGACTTTATGGAGCCAATGTGTACAAACCCTTCCAGGACAACTCTCTGGGTAAGGACTTGGTGGGTAAGGATACTTACTGCCAGAAAAAAGGAATCATAGTGTAAGTCCAGGGAGAGGAAATCCTGGGGCAAAATACCTCTAAAACCAAAATCAGTCAAAGGGAGAAATAAAGTTTAAAACACATTTATTGCTTACAAACTGCAGTCCAGGACCGTTTCTCTCTCCAGCTCTAGCAGAAGCCAACCACCCCTCCCCTTAACCTCTCAGGTTCAGATAAGCCTTCCATTGCCCAGGTGCCTTCATACCCATTGATATGGAGATGAATTTTCTCCACCCCTGAGTCACACCTTTTGATATGCAGATGCACTAAAGCCACACTTCTCTCCACCCATGAGGATGCACTAAAGCCAGGCAAGATATTCTGGAAATATTACAATTTTACCCACACATAGATATTTGGAGGACTTCAGGAAGAGAGGAATTCACCCAATGGACACCACAGGTGAAATTTGGTAGTGAGTTCTTGGTGTGGTTATCTAGCCTCAAGAGGCTTTTAAAAATCAAATCTGAGATTATTTGCCAACTTTCAGCAAAGCAATTCAAGAAGGCCTAAAGGGCAAATTACTATGCTGTTGCACCAGTGTAAATAGTGAAGCTGAAGAGTATGAGACCAGTCTTATTTTGTGATCAAATTATCTTCTTTTGAGACTATTTTTTATCAAAATGAAGATTATAGAAAAAAAATTTATATTTCAATGAGAAACTATGCCTTGTTTATAGTAATTGTTCCTAGCTGTTTGATTGCAGCCCTCTTCATTGTCTTTGAGCTATTTTGCAGCTCTTTTTAAATTGCAGGTAATGACAAATAATGTCAAAGAGAAAAACCAAGCAACAAAGAAGGTTGATTTTATTCAGGCTGTTGCAATAGGGAGATCACCCAGATCACTAGATCAAAGTACCTTGGCAGGGTGGTTTTGCCTCGGACTTTTATGGAGAGAAGTAGACAAGCCATAGGTGGAATGATTTACAGTTGGGATTGTTTTGTAATCAGGGGAAGTCTCCATCAGTTGAACAGGAAATGTTTACCTCTGTGTTTAGCCAATGTGTACAAACCCTTCCAGGACAACTAAACAGTTGATAAACAGTTCAGTATCAGTTAATTCATGTGGCAAAGACCTGGGAGTGGGAATGTATGTGTCTGGCCTTGTCAGCAGGTTCAAGCAAAAGGGAAAAGTTGTTTGGTCTTGTCACAGGTAAACGGGAGTCACTTGAAAGTCCTTTAGGAGTAATGGGAAAGGGTAGACAGTCTTCTCTCTCTGTTTCCTTGCATCAGCCATTTCCACACTAAAGTGTTGGGAGGATTTCAGAAAGCAAAAGATGGGGATATTTTTTTAACCAGCACTGTTTTCTGGGAACACAGAGTTCAACATTGTCAATATGCAAAGTCTTCTGTTCTGTAGATTTCCAGTGGACTTCCCTCCTGCAGAAAAATTGCCTCTTTGCAATTCAGTATCTTTACTCCATATAAATTTGTCCTTCTTGACTTTTCTTTGAACCATTTATAACATCTGCCTGGTTCTCTCATTTCATGAGTTCAATCAATTCTTTAATATGTATTCCTTTTTGTATTTGTATGAGAGTAATGATTTTACTTTTTCTATAAATTATCTTTAAATGGTATAACCCATAAAGCTTATTCAGATTTCACCAGTTACACATACATTCTTTTGTGCATGTGTAAACAATCTGGTTTCTGAGCATCCCAGAGAGAAGGAAATCACAAGAACTGTGAAAAGTCCAAAAGCTCATGGTAGCCACAGTGAAGACTGACTCTCCAAGCCTGAGTGTGGGTAAAACTGAAATATTTCCAGAATCTCTTGCCAGGATTTAGGGTATCTCCCTATCAACAGGTGTTTCCAAGGGGTGTAGAGAAGTAGTCTATTTCCATATCACTGGATAATTACATGGGTGAGCAAGGGCTTACCTGGACCTGAGAGGCTGGGGGGAGTATTTGCTCGCTTCTGCCACAGCAGGAGAGAGAGACTCGGGACAACTGCAATAAACGGGCTTTAAACTTTATGTCTCGCTTTGACTGACTGCAGTTTCAGCTAGGTATCTTGCCCCAGGATTTCCCCTCCCTGGAGTTACATCTGGCAGTAGTCAGGAAGAGCTCTGAACCCAAAATCTGTCTACATGGATGCGACCCTTGGGCGGGCTGCCTCTAGAGATGGTGGGGAGATGCCTGGAACCCCCTCTGTGGATAGTGGAAGAAGCCCCAATGGCTGCAGCAGCAGAGGGTGTAGCTTCATCTGGGAGTCCCCATCTGTGGGGCTTCCAATTTGGGAGCCCCTAGTGGGGAATTGGTCTAGGGTAAAGCACCTCCTAGAGGGGTGGGGCCTTCCCCAGTGGGGAAGGGTGAAGACACTGGAAGCTGCAGAATTAGCCCTCTGTGAGATAGAAGACTGCTTAGAGGCCCTGAGTGGCCATGTAGCAGCTGGGATTATAAGGTCTTTTTTCCTTGAAATAGTGGAAAATGTTATCAGGGAGAGAGAGAGGGCTATTGAGGAGAAAGAGGGTTAGTGAGGAGAGAGAGGGAGTTCAGCAGGAGAGAGACACACTGCAGTATTTCTTGGAGGAGCAGGGCAATGACCTATGGGATGCCCTTAAGGAAGAGAGACAGTTATTGAGAAAACGGGTCGCGCTCCTAGAAGATTGCTTAGCAGCAGCGAGGGGGATAGGCGGCAGGAGAAACCACATTGCAGGAGGCTGTGGGGGAGGGGGAGGAAAGCGGTGCCTTCAGCCCCTGTGACGGTGGAGGAGCGGGGATGAGTAGGGGGAAGATGAGGAGGCAGGGCCGTGGACCCATCTGCTGAAGAGGCCACCGCCGGAGGCACCACCCTCTCCTGTATTAAAGGCCCTCGGGGATGTAATTAAAAAAAAAACGAAACAGCACAGGCTCCTCAGGGGGAGGAGCCACGCCCTCCCCAGGTTGGGGAGCACTCCATGCTGTACCCAGGACAAGCTGGTGGACATGAGTGGCTGGTGCAGGCAGACCATCAGTTCATTCTAAAGCTAACCTAGACTTAACCCTAACCCTAACCTTACCTGTACCACCAACCTCTCACCCTCACCTCATCATCATTCACACCTCTCCATAACACTGAACCTCAATCTCGCACATACCCTAACATTAAACCCAGACCCTGACTCTAACCGTAACCATACCCTCCCCGTACACCTAACCCAAGACGGAACCCTAACTCTAAACCAGGCCCCTCACCCTAACCCCTCAACCTAACCAATCACCCTCATACTCACGTTCACCTACACTTAACCACAACCCAAATGCAAAACATAACCTGAAGCCTCATACTGAAATCGAAACCTAACTCTAACCATAATCCTATCCTCACACTACACTGAATCCTAAACCTAACCCGAACCCTAAACCTCATCCCTAGACAAAACCCTTCACTCTCATTGTCATCTAGACCCACAGGTAAGTATTACCCAAAACCTAAACCTAACCCAAATCCTAACACTGAACCCTCAACCTAACTCTCGCCGTAAATATATCATCTCTCTACACCTAAAGATAACCCTAACCTAAACCGTAATGCTACATCTAGTCCCTAACCCTTACCCTCACTTTCACCCGCATGGAACCACAACTGTTAACCTAATTCTCATATGATCCCTCATCCTAAACCTAACCCTCTGCCTAACCCTAACCCTAACCCTACCTATACAACTGCCACCTCACCCTCACCATCATCGTCACCCACACCTCAACATAACACTGAACCTCAATCAAGCACATACCCTAACATGAAACCTGGACCCTAACACTAAACATAATCCTATCCACCTCGTACATGTAAACCAAAATATAACACTAACCCTAATCCTGGCCACTTACCCTAAACCCTCACCCTCATGTTCACCTTCACTCACAACTACCCACAACACAAATAAAAATATAACCCAAAGACTCACACTGAAATCGTACCCTAACTCTAACCATAACCCGATCCTCACCCTACACTGAATCCTAAACCTAACCCTAATCCTAATCCTAGCCATGAACCCTCGACGAAGCCCTTCACCCTCATCGTCACCATCATCCACACCTAAGCATAATCCAAAATCTAATCCTAACCCAAAAATCTAACATTTAATCCTCAGCCTAACACCATAACCATATCTTCACCCTATACCTAAAGATAACCCTACCCTTAACTCTAACCCTATGTCTAGCCCCTAACACTCACCCTCATGTTCACCCACACGGAACCATAAACCTTAACCTAGTTCTCACACGATCCCTCAGCCAAAACTCAAATTATAACACTAACCCACATCATCACGTCCTCATAAACCTTATCCTACACCTAGCCCTAACACTAACCTACCAGTATTCTTACACTAGCCCAATTCCTCACACTTATCATCACCCACACTTTACCATAAACCTAAACCTCAATGTCACACATACCCTAGCATTAAACCCAGACCCTTTCTAACCGTAACCATACCCACGCCATACACCTAACCCAAGACTGAACCCTAACCCTAATACTGACCACTCACCCTCACCCTCATACTCACCTTCACCCACACCTAACCATAACCCAAATCCAAAACATAACCCAAAATGTCACAATGAAAACGAAACCTAACTCTTACCATGAACCTTCCTCACCCTACACTGAGTCCAAACCCTAACCCTAACCTTGACAACTTGACAAAACCCTTCACCCTCATCGTCAAATTCACCCACACCTAAGTATTACCCAAAATCTAAACCTAACCCAAACTCTAACATTGAACCCTCAACCCAACTCTCATTGTAACCATATCATCTCCCTAGAGCTAAAGATAATCCTAATTCTAACCCTAATGCTAACCCTCACCCTAAGTATAACCCATAACCCTTACCCTCATGTTCAAC